CCCCCACACCTCCCTCACACCACCCACCCCCACCTCCCACTCACCTCATACACCCTCCCCAACCACTCCCCTCACCTCCCACTCACCTCACACCGCCTACCCACCTATCCCACCAACCACACCCCCCCTCACCAGCCTTCCACCCTCCTCCCCACACCCCTCACCTTCGGGTGGCGTTGTCGGCGGCGGGTAGATGATGTGCGTCGCTTCGTCCGGCGCGTCGACGACGACGCCCTTGTGTCTCGCGACGACGTCGCGCAGCGCGGGAACGAGCGCGCGGTCCACGTCCGTCCGCACGTACACCTTCTTCACGGGAAGCAGCCCGCTCGCCACCAGCGCGCGCTCGACGTGCACGAACATCTCGACGTTGCGCTCGGTGCGCACCGGCGACGTGAAGTCGAAGCGCCGCCTGGTGGAGAAAGGGGGGGTCGACGAAACGTTCGCTTGTCGCAGCGGGGAATGTTTGTGCGGGGAGGGGAGGGCGAGGATCGTCGTTCTCCGATTCCTTCGCGGATTTACGTTACTTTCTTTTACGCGTCTTTCCCTTTTCTTTTACTTTTACTCTTTTACTTGTTTTGAGACGCAGAGGGTCGAATAAGAGGGCCACAAAACGTGCTCGCACAACGCTGCATGTTACCATTTATAAATTACATTATCTACACGCGAATGTGTCATCGCTTTATCAATTATTGTTTGTTATCTACGCGTAAATGCCTCATCGACAACCTTACTCCCCGACGATATTTCTAACCTATTCCTGATTATCCACCCTCAATCTGATTGCCTTGATGCGTTCAGCTATGCCTCTGCCGCTACTCGCCCGCATGTTAATTGAGTGGGAAGCTCACCATCCTTGCTGGGTTCTGAATTTGTAGACGGCTGCGAGTATGTGACATAGTGCGCCACCTGGTTTGAAGTCGAGGAAGAACTTCTGCGGAAGTCGGGTCAGAGCCGACTTCTGTACCTGTTCGATTAGATCAAGAATGATGCTGAATGAGATCACGATATAAACACAGAACAAACGAAATAAAGAACACTTCCCAAAGTTTCAAAATTCTATTTTGAACGTTTCTGTATTAGAGTAACAGGGAAATACAGACATGACTTCCCAGTATCTCAGTATGAGCATCAGTAAGTCTATCTAGCAGAGCATTAATACATATATATATATTGATGTATATAGATATATTATATAAACAAATGTACCACCGATGGAGCCACTATATTAAGCTTGTTTTTTTAATTGTACACCACAACCACTTTGCAGTTTCTTAGATAAACATTCGACCTGTCTGTTAATTAGTGTGTTATAAAGGATTCCTCGTTAACAGAGTTGCTATACATGCTCACCTGTTTCCCAAATGCATCCTCTTGGAATTGAATAAGCTGAGAGACAAGACATACGAGCCCTTTACTTGTCGGTGGATCAACTTGCACATACTGGAATGCACACAAAAATAACAATATAATAATGCCAGCCATGTACCTACAGGTTTTCTCACTTAGTGTTTAAAGTCATAGCTTGGATTATTTACAATCTTATTGCATGGGGCAACGAAAGATTGAATTATGAATAGAAAATAGAATAGAACTAGAGCACTCGGAGAGCACAGACCTCTGCCAAGGCAGCTGAATTTTCTCAATGTGAAATTTTTTATT